ATTGGATACAACCGGATATTATATTAATCACCGATAAGAAATGAGTTGTGTCATCTTTTCGCTATTCAACACGCCATTTCATCCATGAACCAACAGAACCATAGCCCATTGCAGAAGCCAATGGTAGATTGGGTTCTTTCTAAAAAGATTTTAAAAGACTTTGACCTCTCCATATTTGAGGTAATCTTTTGTATTCTTTATTTTTCATTTTGTTTTTTTCTTGGAGGAATCTTTAAGTGGCGACCTATCAGAACTCACACTCATGAAGTTTTCAAATAGATTTGTAATTCATCAAAAAATAAAAAATAAAAATATTAAATAATACAGTAATACTTTATACTTGTGCATGTGGCTAGCTATCTTTCCGACCCATGTAATTCTCATGAAAAGATACTGCTTTCTTTTTCGAATGCACAATGATTAACATATTGAGGGTTTTAACTTTCATGAATAACACAATTTATCGAAAGGAGCCCGAAGGAAATTTATGGTTCCCTGCGATCCGAACCCGGTGCCGCATTAGGTTAGGGAGCTGGGCTTTTTTCCCTCCTCTCACATTCATTCGTTCGAGCTGCTTCGCTCCTCCGCATCCCAAAGCGCGCTGCCCTCCTAGGCGCGACACACTAAGTAATCCAAGCCAACCCACATTACTGACTAACGGTGGATAATCATATTTCTTAGAGGTACTAAATACAACTCCATGAATGAGCAAAATGGAGGTTGCATTAATGATAAAGATCTCTGGGGAAACCGCTAAAAAAAGATTAGCATCCGATTGTGGGCATCTTTTGATTGAGTAGGTCAGGAAAGAGACAACAGGCGATTATCCCCAACAGCGGAAACGCCGCTATTCCTGAGTAGTCGTAGTTAGCCGGAATAAGAGGTTTCGCGGGGCTACCTACTTTTTGGCTGGGAACGACTTGCCTTCCTCTCACCTTCTTTAAGCCGTATTGACGCCGTGTCAAAGACTCTTTGTTCTAGGTTAGCTCGCAAATAAAGCCGCCTAATAAATTAGGTCACGGTCGCGGATCAGGAGAGTTACTTGTGTAGAACTCAGGGCTTTCGGGTGTAGATCGGGGAACGATCAATTGGGTGTCCGGGGTGCTATATGTGTTTAGCTATCATGTGGCTCAGAGTAGTCCAACCACAGGCATACAGAACTACACTTCCATAGTAAAATCATATGTCCAGAAGATAGCAATTATTTGGCTTGGATTGTTTCCTTAAATAAAATCTTATCCAATTAAGTGTTATTTAGATTTGATCGGTTCATTTGGTTTTTGTGATACAGAACTACACTTCCATAGTAAAATTCTAAAAATTAGCATTATGAAATAGCAATGATATATCATGTTTGAAAGATATAAATAGTAAAAACAAAAGTATATTAACTAATAAGTAGTATGCTACTAATTCATTATTTTACACTTATAATAAAATAAAATAATAAATAAGTATTAAAACTTATAAATGTGGTAGGGTTTCGACTTCAAAAAAAAAAGGATCTGAACAGTTTTCACAAAGATATCCAAAAGCATTCAATAAAATATGGTTTTTGGAGGTTTTCAATTTTTTTTCGGTTTGCCATTTTTATTTGGATCAATTTGGATGTGAGGACCACTAACCAAGTATACCACACAAAATAATAGACCAGTTAATTGGCCCACAATCATGCAAATAATGACTACAAGTAACAAATATTCCAATTATTATGCTGCACCTAATAGCTAACAAGTAACAGAAGCTGAAATCGCTGTATAACCTGCAGAAGCTCAAGAGACAGTATCCTAGTCTTGGTTGTAACTTCATCACTATCCTCCTTCATACCCATCTGCCAGATTTAATTTATGGACAATAAGTGGCGTTGACAAGAAATTAACTACAGTGCTATTGTTTGAGAGTGAACCGACCTTGCAAAGAGTGCGGAATACCAACAAAGCATCGTGTTGTGCTATACTCATGCTCTCCAAATCAATCCCACTTGGCAGAGGTAAGACTAACAGTTTAGCAATCGTTGAGTAAACAATACAATGGATATTACAAATTATTATTCATATTCATACCGTGTTATTTTTTTACCATCTTCAGTATGCACAGCCTTGTCCAGTACAGCTTCTAGGCCCTACAAAAGAAAATACAATCTTGTTACAATAAGAAAGTTTTATACTGGACTCCTTACAAAACTAAATAATTGATTTACCTTGATATCAGCACCCCCAGCAAGATTTTGAAGTTCCTCAAGAGATGTTAGAGATGCATCTTTGGCTTGATTGAGTGCATCACCTAAAGTCATATCTTTTTCATTTGAGTCTCCCACAGAAGTTTCATCAGGTTTTGTGTTTAAATTCTCCACTGAGGCTGCCTTTGTAATTGTATGTCCACCAGAAACAGATGAAGTTTCAACCTGAAAATTTAACAGGCATTTCTATAAGAATTTACTGCAAAAGTAATAAGTCAAATGTGCTTCAGATTCAACTGGAAAAAACTCAATAAAAAGTAAAAAACCCAAATCTCCTCTATACAAACCAATTTAAAAAGACCCACCAGATCAGTTTCCATTCTCCTGAAAACGATGCTGACCATCTGGGTCAGCATTGCCTTTGATGTTGCTTGGTTTATCGGGGACTTGCTACAAATCCAAACAATGAACCTCAGTGTAATATATTGATATTAACAATCCTCGAAGACAAAATAGATATGATTAGTACCTATTTAGAGCAATATTATAGCAAACTCTGATGACTGCCAGCAAAGGCTCGCCATGTACTGAACAACATAAATGAGAAATCAAAAATTGCAATAAAAAGGAAGAGAGAAATATATAAGCCTGTTCAAAACAAGGAGAAAAAAAGCAGACAGGGAACAATAGAATAAAATAATTATCTTCTGGTATCAAAAGAGGGTTCTCTAAACACAGCACCTAAGTAAATTATTAGAAAGACAGACATGGTATAAAGACAGCACCAAACACAAGTACAACCAACAGATCCACGCAGTATCGTACAATAAATTGGTTCAGAATCAATAGTCTAAGCCTCAAATTTTACATAATTATAATTGTTGAATAACTAACTATTTAATGACAGTGTAAAACAGACATCCAATCACATTTCACCGTCTTGCACAACATATTACTACTTCTAAAACCTCTTTACACAGTGACAAAATGGTGAAATATATGTATGTATAAAAGTCACTTGCATTGTCAGTGTCGGTTTATTTAAATCTAATTAGAAACTTCTCTTCCTTATTTCTTTTGATAAATTACACCAGCACAACATATTACCACTTCTACAACTTTAAAGTTAATAAACTTCTCTTCTTTATTTCTTTAGATAAATTACACTAGCAGATACATTGTGTTGAAACTAATGTTTGTTATCATTGCATTTCCACTCTGGAATGCTCATAAAATGAGAATGAAATTGTCAAAAACATTGAAAGATATAATAACACCTAAACATGTAAATTAAACTCCTTTTGCCAAAACATCATTCTAAAATAAACATCATATTAATCATTTACAGGTATAGAAAATGTGTTGATTTACCACACAACAAGTTTGCAAGATAACCAATACAGAAATGTATATATTATAGGAGCACAGATTGCATGCCCATGTGATATCAGCAAACATACATAACAAAAGAATCAAATCATTTATATCATAATACACATACCTCTGAATTTTGAAGAAGCCGCGGCCGTAAGAAGTACCTTCAGCACTTGGAGAATAGTACTGCAGGTTGATTTTCAAAAATAAATAGGTATGACAAGAAACATGTTTAGTCAATGTTGCCTATACATAGTGATTTGCATACCTGTCAGGTGATGAATTGTCAATACAACTACAAACCATGTTTAGAATGTCAGTAAACAATGGAACATTTTTACCGCCTTCTAATCCAGGATCTCCCTCCAAATGGTCATATGCAATAAGTTTCTGTATTAACAGTAATTACGCAGAGTAAATAATGTGTTACCAATTCAGTAAAATCTCACATCATAGTTGCTCTAAGTACTAATTGAACAACTTATAGAGCAGAAAGAAGAAAGCATGCACATACATGGATACAATCTAAAGCAGGTTCTAGGATTTTCAAGTTTTTTGTTTCAACAGCAAGACGGAGTGGATTTAAAACAAGCTCTGCATCACTTCCTTCAAGTGTATTCCCCGCTTTAGATAGTAGTTCAATAATATTTCCACTATAAGGCCTGCTACCTTGATCCACGGTGTTGGAAACCTGCTCAGCCTTCTGTGACTGATCAGTTTCTGAACTAGTTGCTACTCCATCTCCAGTTTCACTCACACTGGCACAAATCAAAATAATTCTAATGTCAAAATTAAAAGTATCCCCCATTCATTTTCCCTCAACTCAACAAAAGAAAACTTATCGTACAAATATTTGAAACGCGACAGTGTCATGCTTATTATGTTAAGCATTTTACCTCACAGATTCAGGTGCGGCTGCAGCTTGATTAGCTGCACTCTGCTTTCTCTGGCTAGCCTCTTTGGTGATGTCTGAAGCATTGAACATATGCAATTAAACTATGAGTGATAAAAATAACTAATCGAACTCGAAGATCAATACAAGAAATTGAACAGTGAAAAACTATTAATTACTTATCTTATCTCAGCAGAAAAGGAAAAGGAATCAAATGCGGATCAAAACAACAAGAAAGCAATGAAAATAGATACCGATCTAGGGTTACAGAATCGAGAAACAAACCTTTATAATTATTGATAGCTTTCTGAAGTTCTGGAAACTTCTTCCCGGAACATTCCTTGAGCATAGAATCGAATGCTCGAGTGACAAAACCTCCGGCAGCACCTCCAGCCATTGTCGTATCACTTAATTGAAACAATTACACTCTCAATGCACGCGGATCAACGACAGTGTCGAATTCGGAAGCGGAATTCAAAGAAATGGATGTGAATCGGGATCATGAGAAATTGGAACGAGATCACTCTGACTTTTCCGACGCCGGAGAGGAATTGGATGCCGCGGAGGAAGAGAGAGAGAATCGGAATCGGAATTGGAAGTGAAGAAAGTGAAAGAGATCTGAGGGATGGAAGAAGATTGAAATTAGAAAATGGAAGGTTTAGATCTGTGTGTGTCTAAAAATGATTTTATGAGTCTGTTTTGATTACCCAGTGTTTAAGCTATTCTGATATTTTGGAATGGAATTCAATTTTGGAAGAGAAAGGGACTCTTGTGCAATAATATTTTGTCTTTTCTCTAATGAATAAACAAATTTACTTTTGTAAGAAAAAAAAAAGACAAATTCAATTTAGTGTTTCATCATATAATAGAAGAGTTGTACAGTGAAAACAAATATTATAAATAGAACCAATCAAAATTCTTATATTTATTTTTATTTAAAAATAAAAATAAAAATATATTTTAATTGAATACATATTTTTCACAATACATGTTTTTCTTCTCATACTAGAATAGAATATAATAAATTAATTTTAATATTTATTATTATATTTCTATTTTAGTTCGGTGTTTGAATAATTTTACTATTTATATTATTTATTTTCTAGTCTAAATTTTTATTTTGAATTTGGGTTGTATTAGAAATCATCAAGATAAAAAAAACTCATTTATAGTTATAAAATATAATTTAAAATATAAAAAATAAAAAATAAATATATTATATATCATTTATTTATATAATATATAATTTATATAATAAAATTATTTATTTAATCGTGATTTTTTTTTTTGAAAAATTATTATTTAATAGTGTAAATGAATTTATATAATATATAATATTTATTTGACTTTGTTTTATTAATTTTTAAGTATTAATACGCATCTGATAATGATGTAATAAGATAATTATTAAATTTAAATTTTAAAATTAAACTTTTAAAATATTATATATTTTCTAAAATATTATATATTTTCTAAAATTAATTTTAAATCATTTTTTATATTTTATAAATAAATAAGTGATATTAAAGAATTTAAAAATAATAAAATAAATTTAGATAATATCTATAAAATCTTATTGACATTACTAAATTAATAATTTTAATTTAAAAAAAAAAATCATCAGTAAATAAATAATTGTATTATAGATTTGTTAAATGAAAAAACTATGTGTGCTTGATGTTTGTACATAAGAAAGGATATGCCTGAAATAAGCTAAACAAAGGTTCTCTAGTTTGCGATATGTCCAAAAAGTGATAATTTAGTCTAGTTCTCGAGGAGGTGTATATAGTCGTTAGTGACTTAACGAAACACACAGAGTCTTAAGGTTGTTATTTCGACCTTGATTCACACGATCTCACTCCATCATAAAGTGTGATAAATAACTCATATCTTAGGATGTCTCACCATGTGACAAGATCATCCACATAATCAAACATATTTGATGTCGCCTAACGTCATTTATGTCATCTTTGTACATAGTTATATATAAATGGGTCAAGATCATTGATATCATGTGGGCTTGGCAAGAAATATTCATGATAGTCTATAGTCCCCTAAGCACGAGCCTTGTAGGGACGGCGTGATTGAGAAAAGACATAATGATTCATAACTCTCAAGTATGAGGCATTTAAGGGCGATGTGGTTTAGAAGAGACATAATGGTTCGGAAGGTGTTGTGGTTAAAAGGCAGTGTTTTCATGTGGATGAGGTTGGGTTGATCATGGCCATGTGATTTGGTGGAGACGGTTTAGTCCTCTAATCTAAAGGTCGTTTGTAAAGTCCTTTGAATTTCTCTTTAAAGTGGTCACGATTGAACTTTCTTGGGAAATAGCTCTCAATTCGAGAGACGTTGAAGCAGACCCCTTCAAATCCTAACATAATAATGATGAGTGTTTGACTCAAGAGACCTCTAATTCATATAAAATATAGAATAAATGGATGCCACAGTCATCGCTTTATGTCTGCACTTACCTAAATCATGAGTATTTCTTCCTATTATTGCTTCCTCCTTCATACTCAACTTTCCAAGCACTTTATGAAGCCTTTTTTCAGGTACTTCTCTTCTTCCTTTTCTATATTCCTTTTCTAATCCATATTTTAGAGAATGGTTTTTCATAGAGAGAGTAACAAACACAACATCGTGATTAAATCGAAGACTCTATATGAGATATATGATTTATGATTTCATTGTGTCAAAAGCTTGAGACGAATAAATGTGTCGGTTGACTAAGACTTAGTGATAGATAAATTTCTGGGAGTGATAATTGTAGTAGCTCTAGCAATGGTTCAGATAGAGACTCGTATAGTGAATTAACTTTAGTCTCTTCTTTCTCATGTCCAGCAAGATCATTGATGTCCTCCATAAACGCAACTTTGGATTGCTTATGTGATGAAGTGGTGAAAGCCAACTTCATTTTCACCAATGAATCGAGGGTAAAAGAGTTTCGTGGGGATTTTAGGATCTCTTTTACCAATAACAAATAAGATGTTATTTTAAATTCCTTTTGTGGAGAGAAAAAAGTCTTCATATTGCAGCCAAATAAAGTGGAGAGCGAGTATTCTCCAATGTACGTCTACTTACTATCACATTTAGGTGGAAATCCAGTTCACCCTCTTTAAGGATGGCATACTAATAGTGATTAATATCTCCGCCCTCACACCTTAATCCTTCAAATTGGGCCTTTGTATGGGAATTCAAAATCCTTAGTGGTGACTTAGGGATTTCTCCTACTATAGGCAGCTTTTTCTCTTTCTACATAATTAAAAGGGTTGATAAGGGGATTTATATTTCCATAAGCGCCCTTCAAAACAGGGGTTATTCTTTCTATACTCTTTAAACTATATGAACTAGAAAAATGAGTTCTTTTGAGTATAGGGCGTTGTCAACTACTCTATGGTCATCTCTAACAACGAGGGAGCTCCTAGATTTCCTTTCTATTGGATGAGTGGTCATGCATCAATAGTGGCCTTTGATTATGACAAGCTCGTTGAATATAAGAAAGATGAGTTTGACCTTTTATAACAATTGTACACCCTAAAGGTTAGGGAGTTAACAGATGTGGATGGTGGCCAAGTGGGATTTGGTGCTCTCTTGAGTGAGATTAATTTACTCATCTATTATTGTATTTTATTCGTTATAACTTTGGATTCATTATTTCATGATTTTATATATATAAAAAAAACATTCCATCTCATTCATTCTCATTACATCTCATTTACTCATTTCTTTAACCTCCATCAAAATAAGTTAAAAGCATCCCTCAAAAGAATCTTTCTGAGAAACAAAAAGGAAAAAGGTTGGAATCATTTTCACTTTTAATCTTTCTAATTCTTAAAAGGCAATGAGAAAAGTTCAAGCTAGCAAGGATTCATTTGATGCAACAGTATCCAGAAAATTAAATGAAAGTAAGAATTCTCAAGCCTTCAATCATGATTCATCTCTTATAAATAAGAAGGTGTGTCATCTGGTCCCTATGATAAGCTTCAGAGGCATGTCAATGAATTTCTTAACAAGCCCGTGGGCTTTGAGTATTATGTGAATAAGTTGGTTGAAACCAAGACAGGTGTCAAATTTCTCGCACCATTAGAGTAGCACGAGATATTGAATTTTTTTAGTCTGAATGGGAAAGTTAACCCGGACCTTGTTAAGGCATTTTATTGGAACCTCAAAGTAACTAGTAATGGTCTAGAATTTCACTTTTGTAATCAACATATCAGGTTTACATTGAAATATTTTGAGAATCATTTTGGATTACTTTCAAAAGGATATGAAGTTTGCATTTCTAGTGCACATGGATTTGTTAAAATTGATCTTGTCAAGAGTACTTCCAAGTCAGTTTTTGGTGATCAGCTGGACATGGCAAATTTTAACATAAGTCGAGTAAAATTTGAAATTTTACATTGGTTTATTGTGAAAGTGTTGTATAGGAATCCTCGAAACTGGGGAAAAGTTGATGATCAGGATCTTTATCTCATATGGATTCTTCTAAACAAAATTTGCTTTAATTGGTTCAAGTTTATTCTTCAGAGAGTTAAGAACTTTAGGACTTCTTCAAATATATCATTATTCTTTTCCTCTTTCATTTGGATCATATTGGAATTGAATGATATCACGTCCACTGATGAAGAGTTAGTTAAAGTGCTAAAGCTTATTGATTCAACTACAATCAGTTTGATGCGATGGTACAAGTATAAAAACAATGAGTGATCTTACTTGCACATTGATGGCAACTGGTTTATAAGGACGTGATTACTAAACCAATGAAGAAGAATAAGAGAACTAGTTTTACTGAAGAAGCTAGTTTATCATCTATTGGTTTATTGTCTGTTGACGCCAAAGTGTATTTTGATGATTGGCTTGATAAGATTATGGTTGATAATCAAGTTCGTGAAGACCAGATTATGGTATGTATTGAAGTTGTGGCAAAGGAAGCAGAATAAGGCATAGAGAAGATCAAGGAAGAAGTTGAAGCAAGTGAAGCAAGAGTTATGGTTTAATTCATTACCTTGAAAGGTGTCATATATCACATTAGAAGTTTCGCTTTTGTTTTCAACATTGATATCGTAATTGATGTTATCGCTCATATTCTTCATACAACTGATTTTCCTAGACTATTTACCCTTTCATTCATATCATAACATAACATTTTGCATCAGGTTAATTATTGTTATTTTGGATATTGTTTGATGTTATTTTATGCAGTTGACCTTATATTTTTTGGTTATGTACTTAGTGTCAAGTTTTAGCCACGAGCTTTGAGTATCAATGTGATTTCTCTATGGTATCATCTTATCTTAATTATTTTCTAAAATTGTGTTGTTTGCGTTAGTTGGTATCGTATGCATTGCAGTATCTATTTAATTCACTATTGTGGAATTTAAATTGTTGGATTTTGTGTTATCAAGGATTTAGTTGTTTGCGTGTTTTTTTCTTCTCTTTTTGATGTCAAATGGGGGAATTTATCGAGATGTTATTGATATTCACGCACAATAAATGTTAATTGCATGGGGCATGATAGTGTAATATGTTGTACAATCATGCGCTAAGCATCACAACTGATTCAATTTTAAAATTCAAAATAAGTTCAAATCAAATGGATCAACAATAATATCTCCAAATTTGCCAAACATAAAAAGGGGGAGCCTGAAATTGAAGTCACGTTATCGTCTTTTAGTTTTGATTTTTTGCCAATTTGTGTGTACGTGTTATTGATTATTCTCTTATTTATAATTTGTTCGTTATTTAATTATTCACATGTTTGTAATTCATTCAGTTTTGAATTTTATTATGTTTGCTTTGTCTATTTAGCATTGTACCTTAAGCCCCTTTATTATTCAGTAAATTAGAACGTTGGTCCATGATATTATATGATCTTTTCTAGCCTAGCAAGTGAAGGGGTAATAAAACACTTAGAAGGGGGGGGGGGGGTGAATAAGTGACTCTTTTCGTTCTTTCAAAACAAAGCTCAAAACAGTAATGGAATAACACAGTTATTTTTATCCTGGTTCGTTTGAACTCAAACTACTTCAGTCCATCCGCCAAGGTGATTTCGCCTTTCTCAACAAGGACTTAATCCATTATAATCAACTGATTACAATCACACAACAACTGTTGTGACTAACAACGCACAAGTAAACTTACAAGTGACTAACACCACTAAGACTTAAATCTAGTCCTAGTCTGCTTGAGAAATCTGACCAAACTTGGTCTCTCAAGGAACAAATACAGAAGTATAATCTTTACAGATAATTGAAATAGAGTTTGCTTCTAATCAAGCTATATCACAACTGTGGTTTTTCTTAGAATGTAATACACAATAATGTAAGAACTTTGAGTTTGTAAGCTTTTGAATATTTCACGTAGTTTCTTGTTTTTCACTATCTTGTTCTTCTTTTTTTTTGGCTTGCAATAAATGTCCTTCTACTTATAGTAGGAAAAATAAGATCGTTGCTGCCTTCAGAGGAATATGGAGAGCATTAAATGCTTTGCGTGTATCCTTGCAAAATTCCATTCTCCAAGAAACTAGTTGTAGGCACTTGAGTGTTTTCAGCCGTCTTTGCATTAATTAGCAAACGTCAAAATGTAAGAACGTGTTTCCTTTGCTTTGACCCTTTGCTTTGACAAGACACGTTGATTAAGACGTTGTTTCAGTATTTGCTTTAACTCAAAATATGCTTTATTCAACTTCTTGTCAGAGTGTTGCTTGCTAAGATCTTTGAACAGCGCTTGCTTTCAAGTTATCTTCAGAATCAAGAAGCCTGCTAGAAGTTAGAAGATACATTTAACAAATGAGTGTTCTTTACCAGAGTCAGCAGATGCATTTGAATAAAAGTTTCTTATGTCAAAGAACTTCTTCATAATCTTTGCTTAGCACTTTGGAATGTTTCTTGTCAGAACATTAACTAAGACATTCAAAAACACATTCATTAGAGCATAAATTATCTTAAATATAATTTAGTTATCATCAAAACACTTGGGATAGGTCAGAACTTAATCTTGTTCTTTCAATCTCCCCCTTTTTGATGATGACAAAAAAATATTTTAGATAAAGAAAAGAAACAGATTAAGAGATAAGAATCTCCCCCTGAAATGAATATATCTATGCATAAGACATCCTAAGATTATTTAGTCAGAGTGATACCCAGCCTTCTTTGAATTTCTTTAGAACTTCTTCAAGAAGATAAATCTTAGCTGGAATATTCTTTCAGAGTTAAATGATACCTGCAAAAAAAAAATCTTTTGCACAGAGGGAATTCTTGCAATTATGTTAGAATGTCTGAGACATAGTCCCATAACTGTTAAACAGTGATTAGTTAAAACATGCACATTTTCTCCCCCTTTTTGGCATAATAAAAAAGTGTAATAAATGAGAAATTTTGAAAGATTCCATAAAAAGTTAAAAAAAAAAAAAAGAAGATATCCAGAAGTACAAACAAAACATCAAAAAAGAGACAAAAAGAAACTAGGATTTCTTAGAGACAAAAGCCATCAGAAGGTTCTTGATCTCAGAGGCAGATTCACTTTGCATTGCCATCCAGTTTTTGAACTCTAAATTTGTTTGATCTTGCTTATCCATGCGTTTATTCAAGAATTTATTCTCCCTCTTTAGCTCTTTAAGAGTGTCCATAATGAGTGAGGTAGAGGCAGAAGATGATGAAGCTTCAGTAGAAACAGGGTTAGAAGCAGCAACTGATGAATCAGACTTTACAAAGGTGGAGAGCAGAGTGCCCAGATCCATTGCAAGAGTTGGCACAGGTTCAGGTCCATCCTTAACTGAAGGTTGATTCAATAGAACAATAGCCAGAGGATTTGAATCTTCAGAGTATTCTTTAGATTCGTCTTCTGATATGTCCATCTTATCAGCTGGTGTATCAGCAATCAGTAGCGAAGACTTCTTATTCCAAGTATCAACAACTTCTGTCTTGAAAACACGCAGAAGTTTTGAAAAGTTGTCCAGCACCTGAGAGTGGCACAAATCCTGTAACTTCCGTGATTCAGCAACCAAGGTTCTTCTGAAAGTTTCCCATAGAAGATCTGTTGCTGCGGTGTTCACACTTCTGAGGCAATCTTCTTTCAGCGGTTGTAACCATGCTTGAACATTTGTTATAAAATTCTGAAACAAAATATTTACATCTGGCTGAATAGGTTTAGGGACAACCATTCTGTAAGATTTGTTTTTCAAAAATTGTAGAGATTGAGAGTCCACTACTGTTCTTAAAAAGCTATTGGTTTCAGGAGTATTTGTAGGTTCAGGTTCAGGTTGGTTAACACAAATATGAGGTTCTGATATATCATGAGGTACGAATGGTTCAGCAATATCAGTTTGTTCAAAAATTTGTTATTCTGGAATTTGAGGAGTTGAGAGTGGGGTTGTATGTTATGGTGAGGTGGGTGGAGTGATATCAGGAGAAATTATTATTGTATAAGCGGGAGTGGGAATGGGTTTTTGAGGTTGTGGTTGGTTCATAGCAAAAATGTTGTCAGTTGGTAGATTGAAAGGTGGTTTTATGGTTGCTAGAGGTTCATTAATCCCAGGAATTCTCCAAGATCCAGCATCATACCATCCAGTGGGTCTGGGTGATAAAGGTCAGGGAGGGGGTCTTGAGAAACGTTCAGCAGGAATAGGTTGAAAAACAGATGGTTCAGGGGGTTCTGAATGAGAGGGTTCTGATTGGCTGTCAGAATGTCCATCAGAGTCAGAATCACTAAAATCTGTTGAGAACTGATTTTTACTAAGGTTGTCAGCAAGGGGTTCAGATGGTGAGGTTTGAGAGGTTTCAGCAGATGCAGATATATTTTCAGAGTTATAAACAGGTATAGTTTCAGCATGATTATTTATCTTCTTTTTCTTCTGAGGAGAGTCAGAAGGTCCTTCTACAGCTTTTCTCTTCACAGATCCTTAGAGAACAACATCAGCAGCAGCTTGATTTCTTCCTTGAAGCCAAGCTGGATCAATAGGTGATCCTGTTTCTCTGCAGGTCTCAAGATAGTGCACAACCATACGAGAATGTTCCAACGAGTTGAACATAGGAAAATTAGCAATAGGAATTCTTCTTTTCTTCACAATAGTTGACAGACATGGAGAGGGTTCCACCAACAGTTTGTCAATAATTTTCCTTTTTAGCAAGTTCTTCCCAGTCATTGTCTTACCACAGATAGGTTCAAGCTCCCCCAGAAGATTTGCTTCTCTTAGGTGAGCAATCAGACCATTCTCAGTCAGAATGTCTGATAATAACCTCCCCATGGGAATCCAATTCCTCTTTGATTTGGGATTCTTCATCCTTTCAGCTTCTCTGGTTTCTTTGACATGGTTCCAGAGGTGTTCAAAAAGCAAGTAGGGCAAATCAATTTTGACATTGGTTCCAAGGAAAAAAAAACAAATATTGTTGATCAGCATTGATGTAATCAGGAGAACTCGTGTCTTTCCTGTGGTGAATACATCCATGAATAATCCTTGCCCAAATCTTATACTTGTCTTTCAAATCCCTAACTTTGGAGGAACCTTGACCATTTGTAAAAATCTCTGTGTATACCCTGGACATCTCCATTCTTCCAGTGGGCATTCCTGTAACTCCAAGTCCTTTAAATCCCAACAACCTTCTGATTAGATTTTCTGTAATGGATATTTTCTTGCCCATTACAAAGGAGAGAATAACCTTGGGAGTTGCAATAGCGTGAATCCAGAATTCTTTTACCAAATGAGGAAA